AGAACCACAGAGTCAAGAATAGGTTAAATATACAAATAAAATAAAATCAATTAAAAACAATAGCACATCAACATAAAAACATATAAACATAAATCTGAAAGCGTTGCTCAAACTCCCGTAACAGTCCCGTTATTTTATCTTTGAACCGCTTCATGTCTGCCACATGTTGGGTCACGCACACATTTTTCAGACAGGGGAAGTGAGCTGCATCACCACCAGCAAGTTGCGTCTCCCACAATGACAGCTTCAACTTGAAAGAACGTATGCTGTCATAATACTGCGTGACAACTTTGTTGCGCCCTTGCAGCTGTTTGTTCAAGTTATTCAGGTGCTCTGTAACATCCACCATAAATGCAAGGTCCTGCATCCATTCTGCGGAATGAAATTCTAACACTGGTTTGCCCTTTTCTTCCATGAACTGTTCAATTTCTTCTCGTAAATCAAAGAAACGCCTCAGCACAGCACCTCGGCTTAACCATCTTACCTCAGTGTCGTATGGCAGGCCATAGATGTGGTCTTTCTCTCTGAGAAGGCTGTCAAACTGACGGTGATTCAGGCTTCTGGATCGGATGAAATTAACAGTTTGGATGACCACCTTCATGACGTTATCCATCTTTAATGACTTGCAACACAAAGCCTCCTGGTGCAAAATACAGTGAAATACACGTCCTCCATTTGCAGATCTGCACTTTCTCTCGGAACTTTGTCACAACGCCTGCTTTTTTCCCGATCATTGAGGGCGCACCATCTGTAGCCAGGCTGACAGCGCGGGACCAGTCCACTCCGACCCTGTCCAGCGCGCCGACGAGTGCGGTAAAAATATCAGCTGCTGTCGTTGTATCTGTCGTCGGCACCAACTCCACGAACTCCTCGGTGACGGTCAATGTGTCATCAACTCCGCGGATGAAAATGGCCAGTTGTGCAACATCTGTAATGTCCGTGCTTTCATCAATTGCAACCGAAAACGCAATAAATGACTTTATTTTTTGCTTCAACTGGCTGTCCAAATCCACTGAAAGATCGGAAATCCTGTCTGCAACTGTGTTTCTTGTCAGGCTGATATTTGCAAAAGTCTGCCGCTTTTCAGGGCACACAATCTCCGCTGCCTTCATCATGCATGTTTTTACAAATTCACCCTCACTAAATGGTTTTGAAGCCACTGCGATTTCATTAGCAATGAGGTAGCTAGCTTTCACTGCAGCGTCACTGATGTCTCGGCTGTGAGTAAACACAGACTGCTGTTTCTTCAGACCCGCCAACAGTTCATTCACCTTCTCTCATCTCCGCTGTCCTTGAAAGTTGTCATATTTGTCGGCATGAAGACTCACATAGTGGCGACGAAGGTTATATTCTTTCAGCACTGCAACATGCTCTGAACACACCAAACATACAGCTTTCCCATTCAATTCCGTGAATAAATAGGATGACCATTTTTCTTGGAACAATCTGCACTCTGCGTCCACTTTTCTCTTTTTTGACAGAGACATATTGGGGCAATGAGGGTGCCAAAGCACATAATGTTAAAAGTAGAAGCCGTAATAAATATTGCGGGCAAAACAAAGTAGCTCATTGGCTGCACGTGCTTGACCTACTTGCTCTGCCCCGGTATAAACAGTTTGCTTGCTTAACACAATTGCTATTGCGCCATCCAGTGGACGCAATTGGAACAGCAGTTTATTTTATTGAAAAATTGCAGCGCATTTTTATACTTTACCAAAAAAAAAATGTAAAAAATTTGAAAAAAATATATTTTTTTAAATATATATTTTTTCAAAATCATCTCGCGGGCCGGATTAAACCCGTTTGCGGGCCTGATCCGGCCCGCGGGCCAGACGTTTGACACCCCTGTATTAGGAGGAACCCAGGGCCAACCGCACCAGCATATGGTCTCACAAGGGGTCTGAGGATCTCATCTCGGTACCTAATGGCAGTCAGGCTACCTCTGGCGAGCACATGGAGGGCTGTGCGGCCCCCCCAAAGAAATGCCACCCCACACCATGACTGACCCACCGCCAAACCGGTCATGCTGGAGGATGTTGCAGGCAGCAGAACGTTCTCCACGGCGTCTCCAGACTCTGTCACGTCTGTCACATGTGCTCAGTGTGAACCTGCTTTCATCTGTGAAGAGCACAGGGCGCCAGTGGCGAATTTGCCAATCTTGGTGTTCTCTGGCAAATGCCAAACGTCCTGCACGGTGTTGGGCTGTAAGCACAACCCCCACCTGTGGACGTCGGGCCCTCATACCACCCTCATGGAGTCTGTTTCTGACCGTTTGAGCAGACAGATGCACATTTGTGGCCTGCTGGAGGTCATTTTGCAGGGCTCTGGCAGTGCTCCTCCTGCTCCTCCTTGTACAAAGGCGGAGGTAGCGGTCCTGCTGCTGGGTTGTTGCCCTCCTACGGCCTCCTCCACGTCTCCTGATGTACTGGCCTGTCTCCTGGTAGCGCCTCCATGCTCTGGACACTACGCTGACAGACACAGCAAACCTTCTTGCCACAGCTCGCATTGATGTGCCATCCTGGATGAGCTGCACTACCTGAGCCACTTGTGTGGGTTGTAGACTCCGTCTCATACTACCACTAGAGTGAAAGCACTGCCAACATTCAAAAGTGACCAAAACATCAGCCAGGAAGCATAGGAACTGAGAAGTGGTCTGTGGTCACCACCTGCAGAACCACTTCTTTATTGGGGGTGTCTTGCTAATTGCCTATAATTTCCACCTGTTGTCTATTCCATTTGCACAACAGCATGTGAAATGTATTGTCAATCAGTGTTGCTTCCTAAGTGGACAGTTTGATTTCACAGAAGTGTGATTGACTTGGAGTTACATTGTGTTGTTTAAGTGTTCCCTTTATTTTTTTGAGCAGTGTATATCTTAGATGATATATATATATATTTTTTGCCCCTTTTTTCTCCCCAATTTCGTGATGTCCAATTGCGATCCAATTACAATGTTGTCTCATTGCTGCAACTCCCCAATGGGCTTGGGATAGGTGAAGGTTGAGTCATGCGTCCTCCGAAACATGACCCGCCAAACCGCACTCCTTAACACCCGCCCGCTTAACCCGGAAGCCAGCTGCACCAATGTGTCTGAGGAAACACAGTTCAACTGACAAACGAAGTCAGCCTGCAGGTGCCCGGCCCGGCCAAAACCTCCCCTAACCCGGACGATGCTGGGTCAATTGTGCGCCGCCCCTATGGGACTCCTGGTCACGGCCGGATGTGACACAGCCTGGGATCGAACCCAGGTCTGTAGTGACGCCTCAAGCACTGCGATGCAGTGCCTTAGTCCGCGGCGCGACACTGGAGGCCATCTTTTGAAAAATTTTTTACACATTTGTATATTTGTTGCTACTTTTTAAGTAAATATATGCAGTCAACTTGAGAAGATCTCGTTCTTCATTTCACCTGTCACAATTGTTCATTATGAAGCTTACCGGTAGTCCCCAGTCACTTGGTGTTTGTTTACAAGCACACAATGAGGAGAGACCGGAGCCTTATGAGTCACTCACTGTTGTGAAGCATGTGCCAGGTGATCTAGTTACAGTATGGAATTCAGAACTGTTTGCCAGCTAGATATCTTATAACTATTAAGTTAACTCTCTAAAATGTTCTAAATGATCTGCAGTTGTGCATTTGGTTTGCTAATTTAGAAGCTAGCTAGTTAGCTATCTAGCTAAGTGGTTAGCTTCTTCCAAAATCAAGCTTCACTTGGTAACAGCAGATAATCCCCTCCTGGATCAAGAGCCTTGCTGTCTAATATTTGTTTTGTGAGTAGCATTTTTGAGTTACTTGTATAACTTTATGAGCTGGGATGTCTGTCCTGCAAATGGTTTAGGTCAGAGATTGTATAAAATGTGTGCAATGCGCTCGTTAGCATTTATTTAGCATTCTCTATGGGATTGCACATGTACTTGTTAGCATTGCTAACAGTTGGATTACAGAGGCTGTGGGGTTTGAAAACAGCGCCCCTTGTGTTTAGTGCCGGTGTTACCGAATATCCCGGTATGGTACAAGGTCGGTATGACAATCTGGATACCGCCCAAGCCTAGTGTTGAAATAGGCATTGTGTTTATTACTACAGCTACAGATTTGATCATGAACACTGACCACTGAGACCTGCTGTGAGAATATTAGAATGTATTATTAATTGAGCAGGATCAACATTAATTTTTTTGATCCTTTGTATGATCAGTTTGCCAGTGCAGCTGAATACAGAGATTATTTCTGCACATCTTTGTCCACCTGGTTCTCCCTGGAAAAAAAAAAAAAAACAGGTCTCGATTTCACCTACTAGTTTCCATGGCAACATAACTGTTTTGGGGAGGAGAGCTGTACTCCACTTCTCCTTAAGAAAAGCAGAATAAGAAAGAGACGCAAAATAGATGGAGGAAAACATGACGAGTGAATGTTAGAGGAAGATAGATTGCCACGGGTTATCACAGCAAGCTGTTCTATATTTACTTTTTCGTTTGAGTTTCTCAGAGATGCAAGGTTAATCTTTATCTATTGTGAATTTAGTTATTTTTTTGTATTTTGTCTTGTTTTGTTATTTGTGTGCGTGCATGCGTATGTGATGCATTTGTATGCACCTGTGTCCAAATATGTGCACTTTACATTCAATTAAAAAGGGTATTGTAAAATAATGACTTTTGTTCTCAAGATCAATATTTGATATAGAAATAGTGTGTAATGAAAACCCCTCCTGATTTCACAATATGGCTACTACATGTCTAGCATCTCCATCTCAGAGGGAGGGAGATATGATGAAGAACAGCTAGCTTGCTCTATCAGCTAGAGAGCGAGATGTAAATATATTGAATGTTTGTTCTTTTACAGGGGGAGGGAGACACGGAGGAACTGCTTATTTGTTCTATTACACGGGAGAGCGAGAGAGAGAGAGGTGCAAATAAAGGAACAACCTGTTAGCTTGAATTAGGGCGACATAAACTAAGGAACTCTGTTAATTTGAATTTACAAGGGAAAAACATCACAAAGAAATGGCTCCGGTGTGCTAGTGCAGAGGGAGGGCATCAGAATAAAAGGAACAGCTTGTTGATTTGACTGGAGGGAGGGTGTCATTAATAACAGAACAGAGGGATGGCGACACGGAACAGCCTGTTGACATTTCAGGCCATGTGACCAGAAACGCAACAGTCAGTCGTGCAGCTGAAAGATTTATTCGGTTCTCTCTCACTCACTCACTTTACCAGTATCAATTCCCAAATATCCATGGATTCAAGGCTGATGTCACAATAAAGTCAACTGCTTGGCTACCTATTGGGGTCACATGAGATGCTTCGTGTGAATACTTTAAGATTCAGTGATGGAAAAACTAGCAGCCAGTTCAAATGTGATATTAGAGCAACCATAGGATGGCTCCATGCATGACCCAAATGCAGAAGTAGGCCTCTTTTTGATTTTCACATACTCCTATAAGGACATCTCTGTTGGGTGTTGAATACTGCCTTGTACAAGTTGTCAGTACAGTGATCATTGTGACTTACCAATGAGCGATTTGTTTGTAAACACTGTGCTTGCCTGTATGTTGGTCTTGTATACCTCTTTACAAGTGTGTAGCCTATTTGAATGAGTAGTTGACATTATTGCTCTCCTCTCTACTGGTCTCTAGCCCACGGGGTACATGGAGGCTGCCCTGTCCTACAGCACCATAGAGGACCTGCAGCTGCTCTCCTGGGATAACGCCCCCAAATACTGTGTGCAGCTCAGCTTCCCTGGTGGCACCGTCCTCCTGCAGGTATGTCCTGTCCCCCTCCCTCCCTCTTCATGTCACGAGTGTGTGTGTGTGTGTGTGTGTGTGCCGATCATGTACAGTGGATATATAAAGTCTACACACACCTGTTAAAATGCCAGGTTTTTGTGATGTAAAAGAATGAGGCAAAGATATATCATGTCAGAACTATTTCCACCTTTTAATGTGACCTATAACGTGAACAATTCAATTGAAAAACACTGAAATCTTTGAGGGGGAAAAATAAATGACCTGGTTGCATAAGTGTGCACACCCTTAAACTAATACTTTGTTGAAGCACCTTTTGATTTTATTACAGCCCTCAGTCTTTTTGGGTAGGAGTCTATTAGCATGGCACATCTTGACGTGGCAATATTTGCCCACTCTTCTTTGCAAAAGCGCTCCAAATATGTCAGATTTCGAGGACATCTCCTGTGCACAGCCCTCTTCAGATCATCCCAGAGATATTCAATTGGATTCAGGTCTGGGCTCTGGCTGGGCCATTCCAAAACGTTAATCTTCTTCTGGTGAAGCCATGCTTTTGTGGATTTTGATGTGTGCTTTGGGTCGTTGTTGTGCAGAAAGGTGAACTTCCTCTTCATCTTCCACTTTCGCTTTCTAACGGACACCTGAAGGTTTTGTGCCAAAATTGCCTGGTATTTGGAACTGTTCATAATTCCATCCACCCTGACTAAGGCCCCGGTTCCAGCTGAAGAAAAACAGCCCCAAAGCATGATGCTGCCACCACCATGCTTCACTGTGGGTATGGTGTTCTTTGGGTGATGTGTAGTGTTTTTGCGCCAAACATACCTTTTTGGAATTATGGCCAAAAAGTTCAACCTTGGTTTCATCAGACCATAACACATTTTCCCATGTGCTTTTGGGGGAAATGTTTTTGCAAACTTCAGCCGGGTTTGGATGTTTTTCTTTGTAAGAAAAGGCTTCCGTCTTGCCACCCTACCCCATAGCCCATTTATATGAAGAATACGGGAGATTGTTGTCACATGTAGCACACAGCCAGTACTTGCCAGAAATTCCTGCAGTTCCTTTAATGTTGCTGTAGGCCTCTTGGAAGCCTCCCTGACCAGTTTTCTTCTCGTCTTTTCATACATTTTGGAGGGACGTCCAGTTCTTGGTAATGTCTCTGTTGTGCCATATTTTCTCCACTTGATGATGACTGTCTTCACTGTGTTCCATGGTATATGTAATCCTTTGGAAATTACTTTGTACCCTTCTCCTGACTGATATCTTTCAACAATGAGATCCCTCTGATGCCTTGGAAGCTCTCTGCGGACCATGGCTTTTGCTCTGAGATGCAACTAAGAAAATGACAGGAAAATCCTACTAGAACAGCTGAACTTTATTTGTGATTAATCAGTCCCTTTAAATGATGGCAGGTGTGTAATGACTTCTATTTAACATGAGTTTGAATGTGATTGGTTAATTCTGAACACAGACACAGGTTTTTATTTTTCATTTTTCCCCCTCGAAGATTTCAGTTTGATTTTCAATTGAATTGTTCACATTATAGGTCACATTAACAGTGGAAAAAGTTCTGACATGATTTATCTTTGACTCATTCTTTTACATCACAAAAACCTGTCATTTTAACAGGGGTGTGTAGACTTTCTATATCCACTGGATCTTTTACCTGACTGTCTGTGTGCCCTAACAGGCGGCCAACAGCTATCTGCGGGACCAGTGGTTTAATTCTCTACAGTGGAAGGTAGGATTACTATGTTGAAGTATTAATTGGTTTGCGTTCACGGGGGTGCAACAAGGCTCACAGCACTTTGCGCAGAGATTTTATCTGTAGGCTACACAGCGCTGCATGCATTTCCTTCATGTATTTTTGCATTGGTTTGATAAGCACATACAACTGTATCTGTATGCGTGTGCCTCTTATTTCCAACCAGAAAAAGATCTATAAGTACCGTAAGGTTCTGAACAATCCGAGTCGCTGGGAGGTGGTTCTGAAGGAGATCAGATTGCTGGTGGACATGGCCCTGACTTCTCCCCTGCAGGATGAGTCCATCCACCAGGCCCCGCTGCAAATCATCTCCACCCTGCTGGCTGAGGTAGGCCCATCTGCAGGCCTCACACACACCAAATTACACACGTCTGCTACTGGGAGCTCCGCTCAAAACCCACAGATGTTACATTTTAGTCAATTAGCAGACGCTCTTATCCTGAGCGAGTTACAGTTAGTGAGTGAATACATTTTTCATACAACCCTGGCGTTGCAAGCGCCATGCTCTACCAACTGAGCTACAGGGGACTACAACAGATGCCTGCTGTTTGACAGAATAAAAGTTGTTAGTCAGTTTGGGAGTGTCTCTATTACATTAATTTGTCTGCTCACTCTCTCTCTGATCATACCGGTCTCATTTCTGTTGTCCCCTCTTCCTCCTCAGAACACTAACCTTAGCACTCAGGACCATGAGAACATCATTGTGGTGAGTTTAAAGTTGCTGTTATAGTGTGATGGTGGATTCATCTGGATGTGTTTGTGTCCATACCCCCATGGGTCCTGGCAACTAGAGTGATGGAATGTTGCAGCGTTCAAGGTACAGCTTTAATGGCTCACTTCATTTACCTGTCTTGGGGCGAATTACGAGCTTAGATAATGAGAGAATTATAGGTACACCGGTGTATTTTTAGGGTGATTTCTGCAGTAACTTTTGGGAATTACAGGCTTAATCTCTCGTGGACATACTACGTAAACGTAAGTGGTCGAGCATCCGACCAAATAACGCGAGATTTTAGTTCTGGTTTAACCGAGATTAGGCTAGCACAGTTTATTCACGCATGGCTGGCTGCTGGCAAGTTTAAAGTTTTATTAGCTGTACGGGATACACATGGTATTAACCGTCCAACGAAATGCTTACTTGCAGGATCTTCTCGACAATGCAACAACAATAAGAAATAATAAAGATAAGAATATGAACATAAAGTAAATGGCTCAGTAGAATAGAATAAACATTTTAGCATCAGTATAATACAGGAAGGCACAATTTATAGTCCAATATTTACATTGTTCAGTATTTAGCAATCATAAGAGTCTGGTAGCAGCAGTTGTAGTGTGTGTAGCCTGGATGTGTGCATGTCTGTGTGGGTGTGTGTTATGATGCGGGGAATCAGAGCAGGTGGTCAGTTCAGTTATCGTGTTCAGCAGTCTGATGGCTTGTAGTACAGTTTCACCCACTTCATACTGTATTCTAGTCATGGCTCATACTATATCATTTATTTATTTTTTACATTCTGGATAATGTGTGTATTTTATTTTATATTTTTTATTGCTAGGTATTTTACTGCCCTGTTGGAACTAGAAACACAAGTATTTCGCTGCACCTGCTATAACGTCTGCAAATCTGTGTACGCAACCAATAAACTTTGATTTGATTTAGTAGAAACCGTCTCTGAGCCTGTTTATCAGACCTCATGCACAGGGCCATTGTAAAGACAAGATCACCTGGCTGGGGAAATTGTGAAGTTCTATTGATCAGTCCTGTCTCTGGTATCTCTGTGTGTCCCTAGGCCATCGCTCCTCTCCTGGAAAATAACCACCCTCCACCAGACCTGTGTGAGTTCTTCTGCAAGGTAAAGATGGGCCCCACTTCAACATGTTGTCAAAATCGAAGCCCTTTGTTAGTGCTAGTGTAACGGAGTTGGATTGGTAACCTCACTCCTCAGCTTGAAATGCATGCGCCATCGAATAGCTAGCTTTTTGGTGGCGTAGCTGGTTAAGGCATTGTCAAGAGGGTGGTCATGTGCGTTTGCGAGGACAAAGGAGAGATCAAGGTCCGGTAAGGACTTGTGAAAGGAAGCTATACTGTTAAGCAAGCACAGTGACGTCCCTCACTGTTCGAGCAGAAGATGTAAACACTTCACAAACATGGGTGTCATTAACAGCCCATTTTACAGTTGATCCAGGCCAAGATTCAGATTATTGTTAAGATGATGTTGTAAATGCTGTGGTTGTGTTTATGCAGCACTGTCGGGAGCGTCCACGGTCGATGGTTGTGATTGAAGTGTTCACCCCTGTGGTCCAGAGAATCCTCAAACACAACATGGTGAGCTGAGCGTTCCGTCTTATTCCCTGTCAAGGTTCACGCTCAGTTTGTTTATTTTCTTCTGTGGTTATATATTGGAGTGTCAAAGCACTGTGCTGCCTCTTGTCCTCATGTTTATTTCTCTGCCTCCTCTCTCTGTCTGTGTGTGTCAGGACTTTGGGAAGTGCCCCAGACTGCGTCTCTTCACTCAGGAGTACATCTTGGCTCTAAATGAGCTCAACGCTGGGATGGAGGTCGTCAAGAAATTCATTCACAGGCGAGTCAGTGACAACATTTGTTTTAGGACTGGGATTTTCTCCACCGACCAGGAAAAGCTCAGGCCCTAGTTATTTCTAATAGTACCCCATGATTTACTCTGTGCTTTCTTCCTGTTCCATGGAGTCTATTGGGTGCTAATTGTGTGCGTGGCTGTGTTTTCAGCATGCATGGCCCCACCGGGCAGTGCCCTCACCCCCGCGTCCTGCCCAACCTGGTGGCGGTGTGCTTGGCTGCCATCTACTCCTGCTACGAGGACTTCATCAACAGGTGAGTGATCTACTGTACTGTAGACCAACCACACAGACTAGACTCTCTGGCCCAATGAACGTCCCTGGTTAGCTTAGGATACTCACCTTCCCTTTAACATTTTAACTGAGGTGTTGACTTGAGTAATGAGTTATCTAATTGGTTATCATTACATCATCATCCCTTAGCCACTGGGTCCTCAGCCCACTTGGGAGAAAATGTACTGGATTTCCGTGGCATTGTCACCCCAGTGAATCATTGCTCGGATACATGACCCTCCTCACGCTCCCTCTAAGTATACAGGGGCTAATGCCGTTGTAACAGAGGCCTGGCTAGAACCCCAACAGAATGACATGTATTCTTACTATGGACTTCTGAGTGTTATAGTCTTGAGATTATTTATTTAATGTGTGATACAATGACTCTCTCCATTCTTCTCTTACACAATATTGGTCTCTCTCCATCTCCCCAACAACATCTCCCTCTCTCTCTCGCTCTGTCCAGCCGGGACAACTCCCCCAGTCTGAAGGAGATCAGGAACGGCTGCCAGCAACAGAATGAGCGTAAACCCCCTCTGCCTCTCCGCCTGCTCCGCCCAGAGCCCCTGACACCCCCAACCACAGCCCTGCTGTCCCTCTCCCCTCCCCCCTCAGCTCCCCTCTCCCCTCCCCCCACACTGCCCCTTTCTCCTCCGCCTTCTATCGTCAACTCCAGTGAGATCCTGGTGGAGTTGGAACGCAACAACAACACTGCCAACGCCAGGCGGAAGGGCCAAGCGGGAGGTGACAGTGAGCCCAACCTGATCGACTGTCTGCTGGTCAGCCCTGCCCTCAACGCCCTGTCAATCCAGCTGCCTGCCCAGGCCGACTGCGTGCTTGGCTGCTTCGCACTTATCCTCAAAATGCTGTGAGTTACCACTACTGCTACTGTAAACCCTCTCCTTTACGGTCTGCCTTACTGTGTGTGTGTCTGTGTGTCTGTATGTGTTTAAATGTGAACAAGGGTTCATGTTTGGCGCTATCTGTGTGGGCTGGGCTGAGCAGCTCAACACAGCTGCTGCCTCTGATGTCCTACTGGAGAATCCTTCAAAAGGAAGGAGTGTTGGTTAGTGTGTCTCTGAATGAATGGATGACATGGGTGTGACGATGTTTTGCAAGAGGGAAGTGGCATGAGGTTATATTATGTATGTGGGAACGGGGAATGACCGTGTGTGTGTAACTATGACACTTAACAGACAGGAATCTGATCCTCTCCTCGTCCCATTGAATTGATGGATTTGTTTGGCGTCATAGGGTGACGCTCAGGTTACGTCTTGTGATTCCCTGTGTGCCAAGCCCCCTGCTCTCATTCTGTGTCCACCTTTCTGTTCTTACTCTCTTTCTATCATTCACTTTCTCTCTGCAACCATTCAGGTCTGACTACGATGACTGGAGACCAGCCCTGGCTAGCCTGCTGCAGCCCATCCCCTTCCCCAAAGAGTAAGTATACTGCCCTGGCTCTACACCTATCCACTTCCACCTCTTGTGCTCCCTCACCTTTTCCTGTCCTCTCCCCAGCCCTCCACCCCTCCTCCAGGCTTTGGGGTCTGGGCTGGGACTTTGGGTGAGGGCCTGTCGCTGAGGTGTAGTGGCCTGGGAGTGGTGTTGACGTGGGTGTGCTGCTAAGGCGCCCTGCTGGGAATGAGGTGCCAACCCTGGGTGGCTGCTGTAATTGGCTCCTCAGTCCGGGACATCATTACCCAGTCACCTACAGAGGGCTGTTGTTGTCACAGCCGGGAGACTCACCTGCTGCTCACCTGCGCCCCAGAGCCTAATCCGAGCGTTCAGGTGTCATTAGAAAGTGCAACAACACTCCGACACAACTCCCAGAGTGATTGAGTCAGACAGAAAACACACACGCCCAACCGCTGATAGATTCACATGTATTTGTATGTTGTTGCTCAGATATGTTCAAACCAACCAAAAAAACGGGAAGTGTTTCCTGTGCAATCCAGCTGCAATCTGTTGAACATCTTACTGCATGTTTGAGATAAAACATGGTAGGACTGTTTAAACGTGTTTTATTATTGTATTAAATCTTGTTTAAATTTGTATTCTTACCTCACTCCACTTTAGGGCCCTTGCACATGCCAAATTCACAAAGTAAGTATCTACAGCCATGACATTTAGTTAACAAATGTTACATTTCAGTTACCATCCTATAAGGAAAGCTTGAGGATTGTGCCTGACTTGTCTATCTGTCTGTTTTGAACAGAGAGCTGAAATATGTTATTCAGAGGTTTGCAGAGGACCCCAGACAGGAGGTGAGTGTGTGTGTGCGGCTCTGACCATACATCACTGTTTCACCCTAGTTCAGTGTTCGATTGGTTCGTGTGTGTAGTACTCATGGTTGTGTGCTTGTTGCAGGTCCACTCCTGTCTGCTCAGTGTGCGCTCAGGAAAGGACGGTTGGTTCCAGCTCTACAGTCCAGGGGGTGTGGCTTGTGATGATGATGGGGAGCTCTTTGCCAGCATGGTGAGTGATTGGTGGTGTTACCCTAATAATCCTGGCCCTCATACTTACCTTTTGTTCTGATTGGCTGGACTTGACCTTTGACTCTCTCCTCCAGGTTCACATTCTTATGGGTTCCTGCTACAAAACTAAGAAGTTCCTCCTGTCCCTGGCTGAAAACAAGCTGGGGCCCTGCATGCTCCTGGCTCTGCGTGGGAACCAGACCATGGTTGAGGTGTGTGTGTGTGTGTGTGTGTGTGTGTGTGTGTGTCAGCTGTGAGTGCACAGGAAGCAGAGGTGACCTATATGTATGTGTGTGTTTCAGATCCTGTGCCTGATGATGGAGTACAACATCATTGAGAACAAGGACACCCAGCTGCAGATCATCTCCACCCTGGAGAGCACTCAGGTGGGCCTGCACATGTACGAGCAGCTGTGTGACAGGCAGAGGGAGCTCAAAGAGCTGGTAAGTTACTACTGCACTGTACACAAACAAAGGCTCGAACACCACACGCTCAATCTCACACTGCGTTCACAATTCTATTGTAATGTCTTCTCAAAATACACAGGGCCGGACTATCAGCGGACAACTGGAGTATGTGCTTAGTTGAAACTGTTACTACTCTACACTGTCGACTCCGCTAGAGATATCTATTCATTATAGTGTTTCCGTTTTGTTACTTCATGCAAATATGAACCCTTTATCTTATCTAAGAGACTTCCTATTTCTTTGTTGGCACATTGCTCATAGACACCACCTGTTGTCTGAAATAAGGAACTGCTGTAATCAGTCAAGATTTTTGTTTCCCTTTCTCCCTCAGCAAAGAAAAGGAGGCCCCACCCGACTCACTCTGCCCTCCAAGTCTACGGTGAGATTGGCTTTTATTACGCTACTGCCATTTCCTCAAAGGTTCTTTGTTTTTCTTTCACAATAATACTTTATTTAAATACAAAATGTATAACATTTTCAAACAACATTTTGTAAGAAAGATGACCTGGCTCCATGTCTCAATTCAATTCGAGCAACATGATGTCTCTCCCTGCCTCTGTATCTGACCATGTCGATGTGTATCTCTGAATAGGATGCGGACCTTGCCAGACTGCTGAGCTCTGGCTCCTTTGGGAACCTGGAGAACCTGAGTCTTGCCTTCACCAACGTCACCAGTGCCTGTGCTGAACAGCTCATCAAGCTGCCCTCTCTCAAACAGCTCAACCTGTGGTCCACCCAGGTCAGAACACACACACACTTCACATTTTGTTTTTATTTGAATTGGATGAGTAATACTTTGCAGTACTTTGAATGACAAATCCTCTTTCCTGTTATTGTCTTTCCTTCAGTTTGGAGATGCAGGACTACGGTTACTGTCTGAACACTTGGCATGTCTGCAGGTGTTGAATCTGTGTGAGACGCCCGTGACCGATGCTGGCCTGCTTTCCCTCAGTTGTAAGAACTAATCTAAATCATTTCACTGTATGCTACTCACATACTGTATACTTCAGACCTGCCACATAACCTCATGCATTCAATATAGAAAAGGCTTTCCACACAATCTCCTAGATCTATATACACTACCGGTCAACATTTTTAGAACACCTACTCATTCAAGGGTTTTTCTTTATTTTTACATTTGTAGAATAATAGTGAAGACATCAAAACTATGAAATAACACATATGGAATCATGTAGTAACCAAAAAAGTGTTAAACAAATCAAAATATATTTTATATTTGAGTTTCTTCAAATATACACCCTTTGCCTTGATGACAGCTTTGCACACTCTTGGCATTCTCTCAACCAGCTTCACCTGGAGTGCTTTTCCAACAGTCTTGAAGAGTTCCCACATATGCTGAGCACCTGTTGGCTGCTTTTCCTTCACTCTGTGGTCCGACTCATCCCAAACCATCTCAATTGGGTTGAGGTCGGGGGATTGTGGAGGCCAGGTCATCTGATGCAGCACTCCATCACTCTCCTTCTTTGTAAAATAGCACTTACACAGCCTGGATGTGTGTTGGATCATTGTCATGTTGAAAAACAAATGATAGTCCCACTAAGCCCAAACCAGATGGGATGGCGTATCGCTGCAGAATGCTGTGGTAGCCATGCTGGTTAAGTGTGCCTTGAATTCTAAATAAATCACAGACAGTGTCACCAGCAAAGCACCCCCACACCATAACACCACCTCCTCCATGCTTTACGGTGGGAAATACACATGCGGAGATCATCCGTTCACCCACACCGCGTCTCACAAAGACACGGTGGTTGGAACCAAATATCTCAAATTTGGACTCCAGACCAAAGGACACATTTACACCGATCTAATGTCCATTGCTCGTGTTTCTTGGACCAATCAAGTCTCTTCTTATTATTGGTGTCCTTTAGTAGTGTTTTTTTTGCAGCAATTCGACCATGAAGGCCTGATTCACACAGTCGTCTCTGAACAGTTGATGTTGAGATGTGTCTGTTACGTGAACTCTGTGAAGCATTTATTTGGGCTGCAATTTCTGAGGCTGGTAACTCTAATGAACTTATCCTCTGCAGCAGAGGTAACTATGGGTCTTCCATTCCTGTGGCGGTCCTCATGAGAGCCAGTTTCATCATAGCGCTTGATGGTTTTTGCGACTGCACTTGAAGAAACTTTCAAAGTTCTTGAAATGTTCCGTATTTACTGACCTTCATGTCTTAAAGTAATGATATATTGTCGTTTCTCTTTGCTTATTTGAGCTGTTGTTGTCATAATAAGGACTTGGTATTTTACCAAATAGGGCTATCTTCTGTATGCCCCCCGCCCACCACACACACCTTGTCACAACACAACTGATTGGCTCAAACACATTAAGAAGGAAAGAAATTCCACAAATGAACTTTTAAGAAGGCACACCTGTTAATTGAAGCTGGTTGAGAGAATGACAAGTGTGCAAAGCGGTCATCAAGGCAATGGGTGGCTATTTGAAGAATCTCAAATATAAAATATATTTTGATTTGATTAACACCTTTTTTGGTTACTACATGATTCCATGTGTGTTATTTCATAGTTGTGATGTCTTCACTATTATACTACAATGTAGAAAATATTACAAATAAAGAAAAACCATTGAATGAGTAGGTGTTCTAAAACCTTTGACCGGTAGTGTATGTTAATGTATGTAAGGTGACATGTTTATGCATGTCTCTTCCAGCCATGAAGAACCTGTGCAGTTTGAACATGAACAGCACAAAGCTCACAGCAGACACATACGAGGATTTAAAGGTAAGATGAACCGTCATACCCTCTCTGTTGACAAGAACACAGAAGTATAGTTTGTAGTCTCTTATCTTTTCTCCTCTCTCTCCCTGTCAGGCCAAACTCCCCAATCTTAAGGAAGTGGATGTCCGCTACACAGAGGCCTGGTGAACACATCCTGTATGACATCATTAGAATACCAACTCCCACATCATCCAAACATGAGGATTACCTGATATCAACAGAGCACATAGTCTCCCTTACATCAACAACAAGAGGATCCTCTCCCATCTGTAGATGAGGACCCTTTTATCTGGAGACGCCATCAAAACGCCAGGACCTCTCTAGTAACATCATGTCAAGCGAGAATTACTATCTTTCTAGTGACATCATCAAAATACAAGGACCTATTCTTTCTTGTGACATCAAAATACAAGGACCTCCTTTTTAGCGACATCATCAAAAAGCAAGGACCCACTTTCTTGTGACGTAAGGGACCCTTTCTCTCTCATGCGTGATTGCTCACTCAGTTCCTGTCCACATCCTATTTGCCCTCAATAGACTCCTCATAGATTTCTTCTGTGTTGTGTCAAATGTACACAGAACACCAAGTAAACAAACTGTGGATCTTCCCCCTTTCTCCCCTCCCCCTCTCCCACTCTCTCTGAGGACCTTTGTGTTTAAATGCACTCTTCCCTCCATTTACTGGGAGCTCGTCTATCCTTCTCTGATGAAGGCTGGATAACCAGGTCACATTCCAGTACACTTTTGATATTGCCTCTAGTTCAATCCAAATGTAGCTCTAAAGATGTGTTCAATTGTCATTTTGGTCTTGTTTTTTTTGTTTGGGTCCTTTCAGGTTCAGATTCTGGCCTTTCCTTCATTGGGAATGAGGTGCTACCTCAAACAAAACAAAAGTTGCAAGATTGTGCCTAATTCCTCGAATGACACTCTCAATCAATTTTTATCAACTTGAATGAACATATTTTCCCAGACATCTCTGCTTTTATTTATATATATATATATATATATATATATATATATATATTCCCTGTTGACATTTTAAAAGCAGACATTTCAGGAGCTCTGCTCTGTGGTTGCAACACCATTAAAAGGAAGAAATGTTTCCTTTTAATTTGTGTTTTCAATGTACATAACTCCCATATTTACTAGGATGGTTGTGTAGTAGGTGGTCTGGGACTGCCTTGTATTTATGATTTCTCTCCTTCATATCCCTCTTTCTGCCTCCCCTTATTTTCTCAAATGTTAAGACACTTTCCAGGCAACAGGCATACAGCAGTTGACTTTCGTCACACAATCAACCAAGATGTTGCCTAACATTCTTATACATAATCCATGCTGAGGCTTCAACAGAAGCCCTATGTGCACCTTGGATCAACCTCTCAATGTTGCCTTTTTGGCATGATGGGACACGTTTTTATAAAGATAAATATGGGACACATTTTGATATTGGGTGTAGATATACAGGCCATGGTCATCCTTAGATAGGGTTATTTTGTCATAAATGTCAGGTATGAACAGGCTCTGTAGAGGCAACAGCATGGTGTATAGATGACCCTGTTAAAAAGCAGCATGTTACCTGCCCAAAGTCTCTAGAATAAGACATTTTCTGAATTGTGGAGGGTGGTCGTCGGTCAGTACCAGAGTGGAAAATTGCCAAACGAGTTCATTTCAGTTTAATTAGATTTTTGTTAGATTTTTTTTGCAATACTGTACTTCTATCTAAATCTATTGTATCAAACATCAGTACTGTCTGATACAGTGGCATATTATAACGTGGACTCCAACGTGCTAATCATTGGTTCACAGAACCACATTTCTCTCTACTCCCCATCAAGCATGGAGAGAGGGAACTGTTTGGAATATGCACACCCATTAAGTAGTACATGTAGCTGGCTTAAAATGTTGCATTCCTCAATCTTCATTTGAAATCATGAGAACACTTTGTTTGCATGAGCATACCACCTGTTTTGAATAGATTTCCCGTATTATTACCAAGGAATGTGATATTACAGCATTCCGGTATGTGGCAAATTGGCCCACACAAACTGCAGAAGAGTTGTCGTCTGTCTCTGCTCTTCTGCTTTAGGTGGCTTTGATCAATCTGTCCCTTCTCTTTGCCCTTTCAGGGCGTCTCGTACACAATCAGAGCGTTATTCTGGATGCCCTACTCTGGTTCCCTCCACTTTAGTTTTCTTCTCCACAATGCTCCAGAATTCTTTCTGTTCAGTTTTGGCAGAACTTACAGAACACAGTTGGACACCGTCCAATAAGATTTCAATGCTATGTTTATTTTGAGTGCCATAACGGTTACGTGCACTAAATGTCATTGTGTATGGCCACCAGGCTTAAGACATCATGCTGTCACATCCTGTATAATGTATATACAAGTGTATATAATTTTCTGTCCCTCTCGATGTTCCCCTCTGCTCTGTTTCTCTTAGTCTCCCTGTTAGGGAGGCTGTTGTTGCCTTCATCTTCAGGATGTGTGCATGTGGTCATAACTTTTTATTTTCACACAAAGTGCACTGTAATCTAACTTCCATTATGTTTTCATGGTAATTATTATGGCTGATATATTTTAAATATTTGTTTGATTTTGATCACTTTAATCAAGTGTTTGTCGCGTGTTGTTTTGCATGTACATGTTGCATCAGCAGATTATTATTATTTTTTTTTTTACAATTTTGAATATGAAAAGGGTCAGATCACTAGCTCTAAAGTCGCCCTACCCCCTTTGTCCATGGGTTACCACGATGTTCTGATCGAAGCTCAATGAGGAGCAGTACATGTCATAGACCAGCGATTGATTCACCTTTGTGTGGTTACAGACCTTTTGTATTGCTGGAACATATTAGCTTGTGCACAAAATACTGTGTGTAATGAAATGAACATAGTATGTATGCCAGTGAGTTTACTGGTTACTGTACCGTTTGTACACTGGTGAGATTCAATATGTGGAATTATTGTATCTTTTTTGTAACCGTTGACAGAATTTGCTCCTGGACCATTTCTACTGATGTGGTAATAGTGGGGGGGGGGGGGGGAACATGGCCTGAGGAGTTTTTTTGTAGCCCTGATGCTCCTCTAGTTTTTAACATTTCAAATGTACATCTAAAGCTGGCTAAAGAGGGAGACCTAGAGGTGGGAATGTGGAGGGTTTTATTACTGTAGAGGAAATGTGATTGATTGTTATAAAAAAAACTTCATTTGTTATATTGCTATCCTGTGGAGCTCACTGTGCTTTGCTTGGGTTTATGTCTCCTCGCCTCCTGAATTCCCTCTATTCTCTCTCCTCATTCCTCTCTATCCAGAGGTGATATTACAACCTGTTCTAATTTTTCTGAATTTGTAAAGATTTTATTTGAATTGTGACTGCGGCTTGAGTCTTAATGTGGTTGACAGCGGGGTGCCTGCTGCTGTGGACCCCCCTGCTGGCGCAGTCATGGACATAATTCCTGTCATTTTTTGCAGCTCAAACGCTGCCCTCATTTTCTCTTGTCTGTGTTATCTGCTTCTACGGCTAGGTTACTGCTGCTGCTCTGTGGCTGTTGTAATAAAAATACAAGACCTTCTATAGGAAAATAAGAACTGATGTGAAATAATTTCAATCAAAATAAACTGTCTGAATATGTTTCAAATGGGAGTGCGGCATAGTTATTTATAGGCTCACTGTAAATTTCACTGGGTTGTCAAACATCCAATAGTTAAACCTAATCAAACGAAGCAAAGAGTCAGCAGAGGTCATGTTTTGACTAAAGTTATCAAAATGAGGCAGAAGGATTATCAAAGCAGTATAATTCAAATGTTGGAAAATAAAGGTGCTCTATGCAACAATTCAACCTGCAATTAGCCCTTTGTCTGATATATCAGTAGTAAAGGAATACATTTGTTGAGAGGAAAACATAAGAAACAAACAATTACCGGTAACACTAATTCATGCCCCTGCAGGTACTTTTCAGCTATATTCTTCAAAAACCTCAAATTGTACTTATTTCAATGCTGCATAGTGCATCTGTTCATCTGATTTTACCTATTCATAAACAAAAAAACATATGCAAATGTGAAAGAAAGAAAAACGTCAGATACAATCACCTCTCATACAGAGCTATGTCACACATTTTCTCTATTGGCTTTGTAAGATTGAAGCTTTGGAGGCAACCCTGCAGGCTCAGGATGAGCTGACTTCAGGAATATAATTTACTGTTGATTTTATTTTCCTTTATCCTAGGACAGAGCAGAGGAACAGACAAGAGAAAATTAATGTATGCCCATTATGACATTTATTTTATTGTAACGTGAAAGGAGAATAACTCGGGCCTACTTCTGTTTGCAGGTATCTTGGATCTTCTCTAACTGTTTTTCATTGGCGCTGAACTCTCATGAGGTCATCTCGGAGCTGTGGGGGGGTGGAGCGCTGCAGGCTGGCGTGGGTGTCGTACAGGAAAAGCTTGTTGCTTAGCTCCGCCTGCCCCCGCCGCTGTTGGCTAGATGACAAGTACAGCTCCTCCTCTGCTTTCTGAATGACACAGGCACAGGCTCACCATCCAGACACACAAACACCACCAGTAACACACATCAAAGGCTGTTCCCAGTCAACATGCAGTTTGTGTGTCTCACCTCCACCTGCTGCACGTCGATGTAGACTAGTAAAGAAGCTAGTTCTATGCTCTCATTGAAGCCATTTTTCAGAGGAACAGAACGGTACCCTAAGAGACAGAGAACAGTGTGTAAATGAGGGGCGTAAGGGTTCATGTACCGCATATTAGTGTGTGTGTCCTACCTGAGCGGATGCCCTTCACAGGGAAGGTAGCCTGAGCCAGCAAGTTTGGATCTGAGAACATGTCCTCCTCCTTCACCACGAAGCGCAGGAAGGTGAGCTCTGGCTCATGCACTAGGAAAGTCACCGGCTCTGGAGGGGCTTTCCATACCGGGTTCAGCCCATTGTCACCTGAACAAATACAAGCCCAGTTAACAAAATACATAAATACACAATCCTCTTTCAAACAACACACAGAAGCTGGGTTTCTTTAATTAGCTGGAAAATAATTCCATCCACTGCAACCCCTGCTCCCGCTCCTTACGATAGACAACGGTCTTAAACTTGTTGTCCTCCGTGTGTCCATACAGCTCCGTCTCTACAAAAGGACTGGCGATGCTACGGCCTGGCTTCGGCAGGTGTCTGGCAACTATCACCTACAGGGGGCAGCACAACAGATTCAGTGCTCAACAGTAACCAGTTTGTTTACCATATGAAAACTAATAAGGACAATGAGCAGAGACTTACTCTGACAATAAGGGTGAACTTGACTTTCCTCTTCTCCAGCTGTGGATCATAGCAGTCAGAGTGCATGATTTCTGGCTGTAGCACGTAGCCTGTTCAGACTGAAGAGGGCATTGTTGAGTGTATTTATCTGGACAAAAACAAACAAACATGACTATCACTGGTACACCAAGCAAGCACTTTTTTCATCTCTGTGAACCCAATTCAGGGGGCACTCACTCTAGTTTAGGTCTATCTTACACAGAATACTAGTATCTCATTCCCCCTCCATCTTTAACACATGCTCGTCAAACCCACCTGCAGTCTGGAAGTTGAGCGCCACCATGTGGCAGCCGCAGGCCCACAGAAGGTAAGGGTCGTTTTGGATGAGTCCACACGTTGGCCCTTGGGGTAGATGCGGCTCAAGGCCTTGCGGTTAAACCTCAGGAAGTCTGGAGTTCTGTTCTTGGCCCGGGTCTTGTTCTCCACAAAGGAGCGGATCTCTTTGTAGCAATAGTTCACTGTGGGGACATCGTTGGGAATGGGCAGACTAAGTTTGATCAGACCAATACGGATATTTGTTTATTTATTTGCAGCTGCTACTCTTTCTGGGGTCCACCACATTTGATTGTTGTGGAGGGTGACTTATTCTGGTAATAATAATAAGAGTGAGTTGAGAGTAGATTATATATTCATTTGAAAACACAAATGTGAAATCTTTCATGTGTATTGCAGTGCATGTCATACAGTGGTGGCTCCTCAAAAGAGGAAGGGGAGGACCATCCTACTCAGTGAATTTCAGATAAATAAAAAGTTAAACATTCAAAAAAAGTATCCTTTTTAGAAAAAACTACACTAAATATATTCACGTCACCAAATAACTGATTAAAACACACTATTTTGCAATGAAGGTCTACAGTAGCCTCAACAGCACCCTCTAGGGTAGCACCATGGTGTAGCCAGAGGACAGCTATTTTCCGTCCTCGTCTGGGTACATTGACTTCAATACAAAACCTAGGAGGCTCATGGTTATCACCCCCTTCCATAGACTTACACAGTAATTATGACAACTTCCGGAGGATGTCCTCCAACCTATCAAAGCACTTTTAATATGAACTAACATATTGTCCATCCAATCAAAAGGTCAGAGAATGAATTTAGTACTGAAAGCATAAGCTACAGCTAGCTAGCACTGCAGTGCATAACGTGCTGTGAGTAGTAGACTCAAATAGAAAGAAAGACAATAGTTGAACAGTTTTTAACAAATACATTTATTTAAAAACTAAGAAGAAGCAGCAGAGAGAGAGAGCTAGCTATATTTTGCTATATTAGTTTCACTTACTTAGCTAATACAGCTAATTTAGCCTTCTCAACAACCTGACTCAAACAGAGAGGAATGCTATTTATGTTAGCAAGCTGGCTAAGGCTATCCAACACTGCAACTCTTCCAAGTCAAGGTAAACTTTCAGTTTTATTTATTTATTGCCACCGGGGCCAGCCGGTGTAACTTCTAAACTGTTTGCTGTACACTGTACTGCGTGATTGTACACATGGATTGGATTGTGGGTTTAGTAACGAGTTAGTTCTAGTTTGTTGACTAGAACGTTAATATGGTGGCAACAATGTAGGCTGTGTAGCTGTTAGCGGTTATGGTATGAAGGTTTGGCTTGGAGAGGTTTTTGCGCCTAGTCACAGACAGCTGTTGTGTTGTGCTGAAGTCCACAAGCAAAGGGAAAAGGTGAGAGGAGGAGGATGCAAGAAGGAATTATACAACAAGCAAAGTGATGATGCTGGGGTGTATTCATTCCGCCGATTCTGTTGCAAAACGTTTCTTAAATGGAAGCAAACAGAACGAAATGTGGATGGACCTACCTGAATCTTTCCAATAGAAACTACTGTAATGACCCAGCTGGGTCATAAAGTAAAAGAGAGACGGGCACCAGGTGTACAGGCAGAACACAGGTTTATTCCTGAATGGGCTATTGTTCAGGCCACAGCCCACGCCGCTAAACCTCGAACATACACAAATATAACATGTCAAGTCAAGGGTCCCAAAACAGAAGAGAGAGAGATGAGACCGTAACCCCTATTTAAGCATTCCAAAACCCCGCGGGATTACCCATCATACCCCCTCACCCTTTCCATCTGTCCTGGCATATTTAACCCCTGCTAGCACCCATGAGAACGATAACACACCCACGAACACAGAACACAATACCGGGTCGTTACACTACTATGTTCCATTGAGCTGGGTGAATGGAATATGAATGGCAGTCATCCAATATGCTGAAATAGAAGTAAGGCCATACTCATAAAAATAAATTGTCCTCCCTAATCGTGAATGGCAACAACCGCCACTGATGTGATAGGATGAATGCCTCAGGTGGGTGGGTGGTGAGGGTGGTAGGGCTACCAAAGTGGTCCTTCTCCTTGCTGCGAGGCTGGCAGTACACCACCAGGTCAGACATCTCCATAGCGACCTCTTCACTCTTCTCCACCTCCTCCTGCTGCTTGATCTGGAGGACAGAAAACACACAGCAGCTTCCTGTCAGCATGACATCACTGAAGACGCTGGGCTGTGCAGCTTTGGAATGGAAGATATAATTATTTCATAGCCTCTTACTTATAGATAGGTTATATGGAATTATATTATGATACTGGCCTCTAACTGCTTGTTGTGCTGCTTGGTGATCTCTCTCTGGGTGATGTCCCAGGCCACCTGGTACCACTCAAACAAGTCTTCCAGTGACTTTGCCGCAAAGTCAAACTGTATCTTACTGTCGTAATCACTCATCTGAAGTGTCATGACATGGGACTCCCCATTCTTTCCCGATCTCACTGAGAAGAGAAAGGGATGGAGGAAACATAGGGAAGAGAGAGTTCAATATTTACTATGTGCAATGTACTGTATATAGAATAGAGTGTTGTGTTTGGGTACAGGATTGGACTGTGTCTACGTGATGTACAGTAAATTGTATATTTAGCCAGTGTATGGTGTGGAGGTCCCTTTGGACGATCCCTTTGGACTTGTGCAGTTGTGTGTCCTGTTGATATGTGGTATGGGCAGTCAGTGTGATGAGCATGTGCTGGGTGGAAGGACTGGGGGCTTTGCTATGTAGTGTGTTTATCATGTGAAGACAGCATGTTTGATATATAGATTATGGGCTCTATTCAATCCGTAGCGCTGAAGACCTGCTTTATAGCACGATTTACAATTAAAGGCAGTCACAGAGACGGTAAACGCTGCATATGTCGGCGCAATCGGAAATTACCTTTACATTTCGTTCGCGCAATCTGTAGTGTGTTTGGACAGCATGTAAAATGGATGTAATAGAAATACTGCACTCACGAACGTTACACTTGGAAATGTCAACAACTCCTTTACACATATTCCCCAAAGGATTGTCCTCCATGACCTGTGAGACAAATGTGTACACTGTAGATTTCTAAATGTATACTGGTAATGTTAACACACAGACAGAAATGGATGCACTCTTGCCACACAAGATACAGGTAACTGCCAAAATAAAGGAAACACCAACATAAAGTGTCTTAATAGTGCATTGGGCCACCACGGGTCAGAACAGCTTCAATGCACCTTGGCATAGATTCTACAAGTGTCTGGAACTCTATTGGAGAGATGCGACACCATTCTTCCATGAGAAATTCCATCATTAATGTGGCTTGTGAAGCAAGAGTCCCCACTTTAAATCTTCAACATACTTCTGATTTACAGTTAGTTATTAATGGAGCTTGTGAAGCAAGTGTCCCCACTATAAATCTTCAACATACTTCTTCTTATTATTGTTATTCTTTAGCACTAGGGATGTAATGATTCACCGATATGCATCGGTCCCCGGTTCAAATGTTTAAGATACAAATGCATCAGTCCATGGGAGCCCAAGCCGATCCAAATTAAGCATGCATCGGTCAGTAAACTGATTCAAACGTTACAAATCACCTGTTCACTAATGTTTTTTAATCATTGTTTTATTCCAAAAATACCTCTTATCTGTTGTGACTGAATTGATGTGCCCTCTCCTTCAGTTCAGTAGCTTATCAAACTGTTATGCATTTAACTGCGTATGACTGTCAAATAACTGTACACATTGTTTTGAAAATAATATAATACAATTGATAAAGAAATAACCTACCAATATGCTATACTACTGAAGTTCAGGAATGTTATAAAATCATTCGGATTTATTGGATTTTTATTATAGTATGTATAAATAGATTTTTTAAAACAGCATTAGAGGAAGGGACAATTCATTAAATAATAAATCCCCAAATACAAGGAACTGGAACACAAAAGTGCTCAAAAGCCTGAAATTAGGTAGGAATAAATAAGGTGGAAATAGAAACAAAAAAACAGAGGACATCAAATAAAATAAAATAAAATTGTATTTGTCACGTGCCGAATACAACAGGTGTAGATCTTACAGAGAAATGCTTACTTACAAGCCCTTAACCAACAATGCAGTTTTAAGAAAAATAAGTGTTAAATAAAAAATAGATAACTAAAAAATTAAATAAGAAAATAATTAAAGAGCAGCAGTAAAATAACAGTAGCGAGGCTATATACAGGGGGTACCTGTACAGAGTCAATGTGCGGGGGCACAGGTTAGTCGAGGTAATTGAGGTAATATGTACATGTAGGTAGGGTTAAAGTGACATAGGAGGTACAGTATGTGGGGTATGTGACTGAGTATATGTTAGAGTGTGGGTGTGTTGAAAGATAGCGTGTTGGGAAAGTGTGAAGAGTTGAAAGTGAGTGAGCAAAGAAAGTGTTTGCAAATATCAGAACCCATGTGTGTCTGCGAGCAGGAGTAGTGACAGAGCGAGAGTCTCCATTTTTACGCAGACATTGGATGTACATAAAAAAATGAAATACAAATATATAGTTTATTTATATTTGTCCTATCATGATGGATCGGTGCCCAACCGTATGTGTTATTTCATAGTTTTGATGTCTTCACTATTACTCTACAATGTAGAAAATAGATTTAAAAAATAAAGAAAAATCCTTGAATGAGTAAGTGTTCTAAAACATTTGACCGGTAGTGTAGTAACCAAGAAAGTGTTCAACAAATCAAAATATACTTTATAAATAGCCACCCATTACCTTGATGACAGCTTTGCACACTCTTGGCATTCTCTCAACCAGCTTCATGAGGTAGTCACCTTGAATGCATTTCAATTAACAGGTGTGCCTTCTTAAAAGTTAATTTGTGGAATTTCTTTCCTTCTTAATGCGTTTGAGCCAATCAGTTCTGTTGTGACAAGGTGTGGGTGAACGGATGATCTCCGCATGTGTAGTTCCCACCGTAAAGCATGCAGGAGGAGGTGTTATGGTGTGGGGGTGCTTTGCTGGTGACACTGTCTGTGATTTATTTAGAATTCAAGGCACACTTAACCAGCATGGCTACCTCAGCATTCTGCAGCGATACGCCATCCCATCTGGTTTGGGCTTAGTGGGACTATCATTTGTTTTTCAACAGGACTATCTGTTAACCCAACACATCTCCAGGCTGTGTAAGGGCTATTTGACCAAGAAGGAGAGTGATGGATTGCTGCATCAGATGACCTGGCCTCCACAATCCCTTGACCTCAAACCAATTGAGATGGTTTGGGATGAGTCGGACGGCAGAGTGAAGGAAAAGCAGCCAACAAGTGCTCAGCATATGTGGGAACTCCATCAAGACTGTTGGGAAAGCATTCCAGGTGAAGCTGGTTGAGAGAATGCCAAGAGTGTGAAAAGCTGTCATCAAGGCAAAGGGTGGCTATTTGAAGAATCTCCAATATAAAACATATTTTGATTTGTTTAACACTTTTTTGGTTACTACATGTGGTCCTCTGTAGCTCAGCTGGTAGAGCGTGGCGCTTGTAACGCCAAGGTAGTGGGTTCGATCCCAGGGACCACTCATACAACAAAAAAAATGTATGCACGAATGACTGTAAGTCGCTTTGGATAAAAGCGTCTGCTAAATGGCATTTTATTATTATTTATTATTCCATATGTGTTATTTCATAGTTTTGATGTCTTCACTATTCTTCTACGATGTAAAAAATAGTAAAAGTGAGTAGGTGTGTCCAAACTTTTGACTGGTACTGTAGATCTCTCCCAATCTTCCTCCTTTCCCTTTGTTTCTCGCTGCCCCCGATCTCTCCCCGTCCCTCTCTCTCACCGTGCTGAAGCGGCTGACCAGTTCCGGTGTGACAGGGTAGCGTAGTTTGATCTTGCGATACAGAGGCTTCTTACGGAAGTAGTTGACCAGCTCCATCAGGCTCTGGAACTCAGTGGTGGTTCCCAGCACGCACATAGAGCCATCCTTCTGAATACGACAGTTTGACCTTCCATCACCTCTGAAGGTGATGGCGTAGGAGTCGCCCTCCTCTCTCTGTCTGATGAGGAAGGCTCCGTCCCGGGGGATTCTCGACAGATAGTCCTCTGCCTCCCCTCTGCTCAGGTTACTATAGAACCACCTGACCACCACAACACACAGAGAGAATCTATGTGTAAGTGTGTGCATGTTTAAATTCACACATACTCTATGTCAGATGACCCTGTGTAACTCACCCTTCCAGTAGGAATGGGTTGGGCCGAGGCACAGCCTCAGTGAGGCGCAGGTCAAAGTCGTGGCAGTGGAGGGGCATTTCATGATAGTGCTGGATCAGTGAGTACACACTCGGGAAGTGCAGGTTATCAGTCAGGAAGTAGAAGGTGTGTGCTCCCTCTGAGCCAGAGCGGACACGACAGTGCTGAACCCTCCCACTGCGCCTACAGTATAACACACTGAAAACAGACATCAGCACGGCAGAGTATTACACACAGTACACACATACTGAAGTCATGTCAGTAGAGCTGCAGCCAAGCTGGCGGACCAGAAGAAGAGAGTGAAGTCAGTCACAAAGGTGTCGCTTTCTCTGACCAGGAAGGTGCCATCCCTGCCTCCCGACTCAGCACAGAACTCCTGCAGCAGCCTCTCTGCTGTCTGCCTCCCCTCACTCCTCCTCCCATGGAACCAGGCCTCCGACGTGTGGAGCTCTGGGGACTACAGCAGGGAAGGGAGGGAGAGGGGGGGAGGGAGGGGTTTGGAAGAAAAGTAGGCAGACGGGAGGGAGAGGAGTATAATAAAAAAAGAGTAATGTAATAATTAAATACATTGACAATGATCACTGGTTTACTACGATTAGAAGGGTTTAATATTCTCCCTTGTTTACCTTCCTGGGCTCCTCGTCCTCTTCCTCTGCATAGTAGAGCCAAATTGAAATATGTGAGGGACATTTTATGAGGTTTAAGGTTTACTACTAACACTCAACACAGCGGAATCCCAGACGCAGGCAGCGTACAAAGGCCTCAGTGGATGACTCGCTCTGCAGCTGGTCTCCAGTCAAGTACCTGAAGGAAACACATCATAACAAGAAATACAAAATGCAAGCAAATCATGAACTTAATTTGTGTGTTTATTATAATATCAGTCACAGCCTATATTATTACATCGTTTTACAGTATTGCTGAAATTCTTTACAGTGCTGACAACTGTACTAACACTTGGTGTGAAACATTGATAAAAAAAAGTTAAGTAGTCTATTTCATAGTGTTGTGTTGTATTGTATTTCTGTGTTATTTGGCGGTACTGACGTGTTGTGTGAGGAGTTGATCCAATAGTGGGACAGTGGGTTGTTCATATCCAAGTTGCACATCTCTGAGTATTTCTCATCCCAAATTGAGTTCTCCTTCGAGAAGAGGAAACTGAGGAACTAGAGTGAGAGAAGAGAGAGAGAGCACTGTGACAAACATAACACACCGTTCTCCACTCCCCATACACAGACAAATCACACACTGTGTCCCACCTCGCTGATAGTGAACTCTGGATCGTTGGTCTTCCTCATGGTGTCGTCTATAAAGGTGGTCATCAGCTCTCTGACCTGGTTCAGGTCATTGGCCCACGACTCCTGAGAGAGAGAAATAGAGAGAGTGAGGAAAAGAGAGAGAAAAAAGTACAATATAGAGAATTGTAAAAAGTAGATTAAACACTGACTGAAAAATACCGTTTTACCAATTTGATAATTGATAGATACAGTGAGGGAAAAAAGTATTTGATCCCCTGCTGATTTTGTACGTTTGCCCACTGACAAAGAAATTATCAGTTTATAATTTTAATGGTAGGTTTATTTGAACAGTGAGAGACAGAATAACAACAAAAAAATCCAGAAAACACATGTCAAAAATGTTATAAATTGATTTGCATTTTAATGAGGGAATTAAGTATTTGACTCCTCTGCAAAACATGACTTAGTACTTGGTGGCAAAACCCTTGTTGGCAATCACAGAGGTCAGACGTTTCTTGTAGTTGGCCACCAGGTTTGCACACATCTCAGGAGGGATTTTGTCCCACTCCTCTTTGCAGATCTTCTCCAAGTCATTAAGGTTTCGAGGCTGATGTTTGGCAACTCGAACCTTCAGCTCCCTCCACAGATTTTCTATGGGATTAAGGTCTGGAGACTGGCTAGGCCACTCCAGGACCTTAATGTGCTTCTTCTTGAGCCACTCCTTTGTTGCCTTGGCCGTGTGTTTTGGGTCATTGTCATGCTGGAATACCCATCCACAACCCATTTTCAATGCCCTGGCTGAGGGAAGGACGTTCTCACCCAATATTTGACGGTACATGGCCCCGTCCATCGCCCTTTTGATACGGTGAAGTTGTCCTGTCCCATTAGCAGAAAAACACCCCCAAAGCATAATGTTTCCACCATGTTTGACGGTGGGAATGGTGTTCTTGGGGTCATAGGCAGCATTCCTCCTCCTCCAAACACGGCGAGTTGAGTTGATGCCAATGAGCTCAATTTTGGTCTCATCTGACCACAACACTTTCTCCCAGTTCTCCTCTGAATCATTCAGATGTTCATTGGCAAACTTCAGACGGGCCTGTATATGTGCTTTCTTGAGCAGGGGGACATTGCGGGCGCTGCAGGATTTCAGTCCTTCATGGCGTAGTGTGTTACCAATTGTTTTCTTGGTGACTATGGTCCCAGCTGCCTTGAGATCATTGACAAGATCCTCCCGTGTAGTTCTGGGCTGATTCCTCACCGTTCTCATTATCATTGCGACTCCACGAGGTGAGATCTTGCATGGAGCCCCAGGCCGAGGGAGATTGACAGTTATTTTGTGTATCTTCCATTTGCGAATAATCGCACCAACTGTTGTCACCTTCTCACCAAGCTGCTTGGCGATGGTCTTGTAGCCCATTCCAGCCTTGTGTAGGTCTACAATCTTGTCCCTGACATCCTTGGAGAGCTCTTTGGTCTTGGCCATGGTGGAGAGTTTGGAATCTGATTGCTTCTGTGGACAGGTGTATTTTATACAGGTAACAAGCTGAGATTAGGAGCACTCCCTTTAAGAGTGTGCTCCTAATCTCAGCTCGTTACCTGTATAAAAGACACCTGGGAGCCAGAAATCTTTCTGATTGAGAGGGGGTCAAATACTTATTTCCCTCATTAAAATGCAAATCAATTTATAACATTTTTGACATGCGCTTTTTCTGGATTTTTTTGTTGTTATTCTGTCTTTCACTGTTCAAATAAACCTACCATTAACATTATAGACTGATCATTTCTTTGTCAGTGGGCAAACGTACAAAATCAGCAGGGGATCAAATACTTTTTTCCCTCACTGTAGCTTGATTCTTACTTTCTGCTGGTACAGAAGAAACCGTTGGAAATCATGGAGAAGAACTGCAGAGGCATCAGGTTTATCTGTACTTCTACAGTAGGGAAGAACCACAACACACCAACATACCATCAACAAGAAAAGCTTACCGGTATAAGCTGAGAAAAGGATTAATTGTGATTGTAGAACTACATACCCATGATGAAAGCACACGACTCCCTTTTAAACCCCTCTGGAATCTGATGAAACATATACACACAAGTCACAAGTCAATACACAGTCACACACACAGCCAGGATGACAGCACGAATCTGTCTCATCATATTATTAAACATGCAAAATGTGATATCCTAGCTAACATAAGCTGTAAGAGGAGTAAAATTGTCGGTAATTTGTGGTGAAACGTAGTATATGTTCAGCATTTTGTACTTAGAGAGTGCAGAGGTACAGGAAAATTCTGACTCACATCTTTCTGATCAAACATTAGAATATTGTAGAATTTATGAAACTGCTCAAAGTCCAGGACATCTTTCCTTGATCCAATTTCCTGGAACAAAAGAGGGAGATGGACATTGTTTGTTTTTGTTTTATACATACAGTGCATTTGGAAAGTATTCAGACCCCATCCCTTTTTCCACATTTTGTTATGTTACAGCCTTATTCTAAAATTAATTAAATATTTTTTTTTACTCATCAATCTACACACAATACCCCATAATGACAAAGCGAAAAACAAGTTTTTTGAAATGTTTGCACATTTATAAAAAATAAAAAACAGAAATTCCTCATTTACATAAGTATTCAGACCCTTTGCTATGAGACTCGAAATTGAGCTCAGGTGCATCCTGTTTTCACTGATCATACTTGAGATGTTTCTACAACTTGATAAATTCAATTGATTGGACATGATTTGGAAAGGCACACACCTACAGTTGAAGTCGGAAGTTTACATACACTTAGGTTGGAGTTATTAAAACTCATTTTTCAACCACTCCACAAATTTCTTGTTAACAAACTATAGTTTTGGCAAGTCGGTTAGGACATCTGCTTTGTGCATGACACAATTCATTTTTCCAACAATTGTTTACAGACAGATGATTTCACTTATAATTCACTGTATCACAATTCCAGTGGGTCAGAAGTTTACATACACTAAGTTGACTGTGCCTTTAAACAGCTTGGAAAATTCCAGAAAATGATGTCATGGCTTTAGAAGCTTCTGATAGGCTAATTGACATCATTTGAGTCAATTGGAAGTGTACATGTGGATGTATTTCAAGGCTTACCTTCAAACTCAGTGCCTCTTTGTTTGACATCATGGGAAAATCAAAAGAAATCAGCCAAGACCTCAGAAAGAAAATTGTAGACCTCCACAAGTCTGGTTCATCCTTGGGAGCAATTTCCAAATGCCTGAAGGTACCACATTCATCTGTACAAACAATAGTACGCAAGTATAAACACCATGGGACCACGCAGCCGTCATACCGCTCAGGAAGGAGACACGTTCTGTCTCATAGAGATGAACGTACTTTGGTGCGAAAAGTGCAAATCAATCCCAGAACAACAGCAAAAGACCTTGTGAAGATGCTGGAGGAAACAGGTACAAAAGTATCTATATCCACAGTAGAACGAGTCCTATATCGACATAAACTGAAAGGCCGCTCAGCAAGGAAGAAGCCACTGCTCCAAAACCGCCATAAAAAAGCCAGACTACGGTTTGCAACTGCACATGGGGACAAAGATCCTACTTTTTGGAGAAATTTCCTTTGGTTTGATGACACAAAAATATAACTGTTTGGCCATAATGTCCATCGTTTTGTTGGAGGAAAAAGGCGGCAGCTTGCAAGCCGAAGAACACCATCCCGACCGTGAAGCACGGGGGTGGAAGCATCATGCTGTGGGGGTGCTTTGCTGCAGGAGGGACTGGTGCACTTCACAAAATAGATGGCATCATGAGGAAGGAAAATGATGTGGATATATTGAAGCAACATCTCAAGACATCAGTCAGGAAGTTAAAGCTTGGTCGCAAATGGGTCTTCCAAATGGACAATGACCCCAAGCATACTTCCAAAGTTGTGGCAAAATGGTATTGGACAACAAAGTCAAGGTATTGGAGTGGCCATTACAAAGCCCTGACCTCAATCCTATAGAAAATGTGTGGGCAGAACTGAAAAAGCGTGTGCGAGCAAGGAGGCCTACAAACCTGACTCAGTTACACCATCTCTGTCAGGACGAATGGGCCAAAATTCACCCAACTTATTGTGGGAAGCTTGTGGAAGGCTACCCGAAACGTTTGACAAAAGTTAAACAATTTAAAGGCAATGCTACCAAATACTAATTGAGTGTATATAAACTTCTGACCCACTGGGAATGTGATGAAAGAAATAAAAGCTTAAATAAATCATTCTTTCTACTGTTATTCTGACATTTCACATTCTTAAACGAAAGTGGTGAGCCTAACTGACCTCAGTGAAAAACTGAGTTTAAATGTATTTGGCTAAGTTGTATGTAAACTTCCGACTTCAACTGTATCTATATAAGGTCCCACGGTTGACAGTGCATGTCAGAGCAAAAACCAAGCCACGAGGTCGAAGGAATTGTCTGTAGTGCTCCGAGACAGGATTGTGTCGAGGCACAGATCTGGGGAAGGGTAACCAAAGAATTCTGCAGCATTGGAGGTCCCCAAGAACACAATGGCCTCCATCATTCTTAAATGGAAGAAATTTGGAAACACCAAGATTCGGGGGAGAAGGGCTTTGGTCAGGGAGGTGACCAAGAACCTGATGGTCACTCTGACAAAGCTCCAGAGTTCCTCTATGGAGATGGGAGAACCTTCCAGAAGGACAACCATCTCTGCAGCACTCCACCAATCAGGCCTTTATGGTAGAGTGGCCATACGGAAGCCACTCCTCATTAAAAGGCACATGACAGTCCGCTTGGAGTTTGCCAAAAGGCACCCAAAGGACTCTTAGACCATGAGAAACAAGATTCTCTGGTCTGATGAAACCAAGATTGAACTCTTTGGCCTGAATGCCAAGTGTCACGTCTGGAGGAAACCTGGCACCATCCAGATCACTTGATCACTTGAGTGCCAAGACCATCATTATCATCTAAAATAACTAATTAATATAATGAATTCTACTGTCCAAGGCCTTATCTGGCCAAAGGAAACTTGATATCCTTGGTTCTCCCTGTTCTCCTGCATTCTGTTGAGGATGAGGTTATAAAAAAATATATATATAAAATGTAAATGTTTTGTAACCTCTGGCTCTGCTATAGTATAACACGCCATCAGTACTGACAGACATCTCATTAAAGCTTTGGCAGCAGTGAGGATGAGAGTGTGAAGGGGAATGAAGAGGGGAAGAGTACTGAGAACTTTTCCTTTAGGGAACGTGTGCCGGGAACCTTGTAGTTGAGCTGTGTCAAAAGAGACTTAACCTTCTTCAAGGTGATACTAAGGACAACAAATGGAGAGAACAATGGAATGAATTGGGGAAATTAGTAAAGGGGCAGAATGGGGATTGGCACATAAATTCGTATGATGATGACTGAGTAGAGGTTTAATCTATGTTTGAGGGTTAAAACTATTCTTACCTGTTCTTTTTAGTCTGATTGATGGAATACATCTGTTTCCTCAACCAGCTGGAAACAACAAAACGATATAGTCAATAATTGTCAGCTGTCGTCCATATAATGGGTGTGTCCAGTATATCGGTGTATGTGTGTGCTTGTTTGTGTGTCTGTCTGTGTGTGTGTGTGTGTGTCTGTGTGTGTGCGTACGTACGTGTGTATTCACCTCTCTATGATGTCTGGTGTGGGCGCCACCAGTGTCTCCTGTCTCAGTAACTCCAAGCCTGTCCGCCATTTCTCTGCGTCATCCACAGTGTCAGCTGTCAATCAACACAAACTATTACTGTTACAGGCTTGATTATCCAATATACTATAGCATACCTATGGCAAACCATCCACATACAATCAATAGGCTATCATCAACAAAATGCTGTTGTGTGGCATCAAATAAACACAGAAAATCTGACATTCTTGGCACACTTACACACACTTACCCCCAAGGCTTAGGGTATTAAGCACAAATTGTGACCCATATAAGATGGTGAAGCAGGTATTATCATCATGTTTGTCCTTGCCATCTCTGAACCTCTCAAAGTCCTTTGAGTTCCTCCCTGGGCAAATCTCCCGTATCGCAAACAGGTCCACTGAAATAGTACTCATCATTTTTACTCACTCTCTCACATACAATCTCCCTCACACACATCCCTATAACTCCACACACCACATCTCAATGTACTCACTGTCCCTACAAACACAGTCCCTCCCTTTTCACTGCTCACCATGTCGTAGGGTTAGGATTACAGTTAGACTTAGGGTAAAGGTTACTTACAGACACCATCGGTCTTGTCTGCTGTTCGAGTCCAGGCCACCTGCCTGGTCTCCATGATGACATGCACAGTGAGGCTCTCTGCCTTCTGGCGGAACACTGTCATAACGATGCCCATCTCCAGGTCGCTCTTGATCAGACTCTTCTTGTACTCTGTCAACTCTCCCTGCTGGCTTCGCCCCGACCCCGCCATCTCTGCCCCTGTGGAAAGGACCCATACTCTACTTATAGTAGGGGTGCAATGGTTTACTATGTCCACAGTTCTGTTCAGTGAATCATTACACCCCTAACTTATAGCCTCTCCATTAAGCTGTTTCAGGATTCATGGTTTCATCATGTCAAACAGAGGACAAGGAAGCAACTACAGGCCCGAACAGTCATAAAGCAGGCTTTTTTTTTTTGACCATTTAAAATATTAAAGGAGGTGCATAGGTGTACAGTCCCAAAAGTCATGGTCAAAAGTTTTGAGAATGACACAAGTATTGGTCTTCACAAAGTTCGCTGCTTCAGTGTTATGAGATATTTTTGTCAAATGTTACTATGGTATACTGAAGTATAATTACAAGCATTCCATAAGTGTCAAAGGCTTTTATTGACAATTACATTAAGTTTATGCAAAGAGTCAATATTTGCCGTGTTGACCCTTCTTTTTCAAGACCTCTGCAATCCGCCCTGGCATGCTTTCAATTAACTTCTGGGCCACATCCTGACTGATGGCAGCACATTATTGCATAATCAATGCTTGGAGTTTGTCCGAATTTGTGGGTTTTTGTTTGTCCACCCGCGTCTTGAGGATCGACCACAAGTTCTCAATGGGATTAAGGTCTGGGAGTTTCCTGGCCATGGACCCAAAATTTGTTTTGTTCCCCGAGCCACTTAGTTATCACTTTTGCCTTATGGCAAGATACTGGAAAAGGCATTGGTCGTCACCAAACTGTTCCTGGATGGTTGGGAGAAGTTGCTCTCGGAGGATGTGTTGGTACCATTCTTTATTCATGGCTGTGTTCTTAGGCAAAATTGTGAGTGAGCCCACTCCCTTGGCTGAGAAGCAACCCCACACATGAATGGTCTCAGGATGCTTTACTGATGGCATGACACAGGACTGATGGTAGCGCTCATGGTGGTAGCGTTTTCCGGATGCCCCAAACAATCGGAAAGAGGATTCATCAGAGAAAATGACTTTACCCCAGTCCTCAGCAGTCCAATCCCTGTACCTATTGCAGAATATCAGTCTGTCCCTGATATTTTTCCTGGAGAGAAGTGGCTTCTTTGCTGCCCTTCTTGACACCAGGCCATCCTCCAAAAATCTTCGCCTCACTGTGCGTGCAGATGCAGTCACACCTGCCTGCTGCCATTCCTGAGCAAGCTCTGCACTGGTGGTGCCCCGATCCTGCAGCTGAATCAAGTTTAGGAGACGGTCCTGGCGCTTGCTGGACTTTCTTGGGCGCCCTGACGCCTTCTTCACAACAATTGAACCTCTCTCCTTGAAGTTCTTGATGATCCGATAAATGGTTGATTTAGGTGCAATCTTACTAGCAGCAATATCCTTGCCTGTGAAGCCCTTTTTGTGCAAAGCAATGATGATGGTACGTGTTTCCTTGCAGGTAACCATGGTTAACAGAGGAAGAACAATGATTTCAAGCACCACCCTCCTTTTAAAGCTTCCAGTCTGTTTTTCTAACTCAATCAGCATGACAGAGTGATCTCCAGACTTGTCCTTGTCAACACTCTCACATGTGTTAACGAGAGAATCACTGACATGATGGCAGCTGGTCCTTTTGTGGCAGGGCTGAAATGCAGTGGAAATGTTTTTTGGGGATTAAGTTCATTTTCAAGAGGGACTTTGCAATTCATTGCAATTCATCTGATCACTCTTCATGACATTCTGGAGTATATGCAAATTGCCATCATCAAAACTGAGGCAGCAGACTTTGTGAAAATTAGGATTTGTGTCATTCTCAAAACTTTTGACCGACTGTATATTATGTTCATTTGCATTATGTTCATAGGCATCATGTCTATGTTTATAACATAGAAACAAATGGCCACCATTGTAATTTGCTTAATGTAACTTGGAACCACTTTACAGTGCATTGCAGATTAGCTTATTTATATATTTTTTTCCATCGATGCACCTACATTTCAACCAACTGCATTGCTCAAGTGTACAACAGCTCTACCAACAATGTGGTCTAGGCTACTTTCCAAACCACAACCTTAACAACCAAACTTTTTAGCTTTTTTCTGATCAATGACTGTCTCAGTGTGAGGGAGGGAAAGTTATTTGCAACTTTAAGTTATTAGGCTTCAGGTAAATATGGTATGGTGGTTGTGTACGGTTGGAAGCAAATTCAGTGTTGGAATAGGGAGGGAAGTAATATTATTTGAGCAGTGTGTCAGACCTGATTCTACATAGCACTTATTATTTACATTGCAAATGAGCAGCAGGTGCAGGGGATGGTGGGATTGAGATGAAGAGGTGAAGTATTAACCCAGAACTATTTCAATATCTTCCCTGAGGAAAGCTTTGATCTCAGCTGGTGCGATCCCCTTATTGGGCTATGGATACAATTTCCACAAACTAGTTTCCTGATACACCACTCTACAAAAACATAGCCAACAACACACACATAAACCATAAGCTTGACTGATGGTTCACTACTTCATTCTGTAAAAGAGGTATGTATCTAATGTAGTGTAGCATAGTCCAAATGTGAAATCAATGAACACCGTGGCATTCTCCAGGTCTTGTCTTGATGTACCTACCATATTAGAGACAATGCAATACACATGCAAATAGTAACCCTGCCTCATAGGCTACATTAGGCACATAATACGTCAATATCCCCACTTTTTTAGGATATTGATGCTTGTTATCCACAATGTCATCATGATGAAAATAGACGCAGCTTGCTGGACAATTACTCCCAAGTGTTAAGGTGTTTTGTCTAGAGTGCCAATTCTATTAGGAATATTCACAGAAGACCCCCGCCAGAGACCATTACTGGCGCACAAAAGCCATCACCATTACAGTGCCTTGTAAAAGTATTCATCCCCCTTGCCGTTTTTCCTATTTTGTTGCATTACAACCTTTAATTTAAATTGATTTTTATTTGGATTTCATGTAATGAACATACACAAAATAGTCCAAATTGGTGAAGTGAAATGAAAAACATAACTTGTTTAAAATAATACTAAAAAATAAATAACGGAAAAGTGGAGTGTGCATATGTATTCACCCCCTTTGCTATGAAGCCCCTAAATAAGATGTGGTGCAACCAATTACCTTCAGAAGTCACATAATTAGTTAAATAAAGTCCACTTGTGTGCAATCTAAGTGTCACATGATCTGTCACATGATCTCATTATATATACACCTGTTCTGAAAGGCCCCAGAGTCTGCAACACCACTAACCAAGGGGCATCACCAAGCAAGTGGCACCATGAAGACCAAGGAGCTCTCCAAACAGGTCAGGGACAAAGTTATGGAGAAGTACAGATCAAGGTTGGGTTATAAAAAAATATCCAAAACTTTGAACATCCCACGGAGTACCATAAAATCCATTATAAAAAATGGAAAGAATATGGCACCACAACAAACCTGCCAAGAGAGGGCCGCCCACCAAAATTCACGGACCAGGCAAGGACGGCATTAATCAGAGGCAACAAAGAGAAGATAACCCTGAAGGAGCTGCAAAGCTTCACAGCGGAGATTGGAGTATCTGTCCATAGGACCACTTTAAGCCATACACTCCACAGAGCTGGGCTTTACGGAAGAGTGGCCAGAAAAAAGCCATTGCTTAAAGAAAACATAAGCAAACACGTTTGGTGTTCGCCAAAAGGCATGTGTGTCACATCTGCTCCTGCAACGCCCTCTATTGCTCATCCCGTGTCTCCTTGACCTGCCGCCACTCCCCCAGTACTCTCTCCCTCTCCCTCTCTCTCTGTGTGTGTGTGATTGTGTGGGCGGAGACAGGTGTGCTGGAGTCAGAGCAGATCCCCACCAGCTGCAACCTGTTCCATAATCAAGACCTCTACAAATACTCAGTCCTGCCACTTCCACACTGCCAGATCGTAATCGCTGCTCAGTCAGTCTACAGTTCTAGCCGTTTGTTACTATTCAGATCCTGTTGTGCCTGTTTTCCTTGCCTGATGCTGTTTTCCTCTCCACTACAGTTCTGCCCGCTCTGACTCTGGTCCCTGTCTCCAGTCCCACATCTCATCATCCTGCTACTCTGTCCTGGATTCCCCACTCTACTACTCCCTTGGATTCCCCTCCGGACCTGCTCACCCTGTCTCAACCCCCCTCGCTCCATCCTCAGCCTCCGCATCTGGTTTCCAGCAGTTTTCCCTGACCTGCACTCCATCTCCCCCTTGTGTTTCAATAAATACCTTGGTTACTTCATCCCAGTCTCCTCGTCTGAGTCTGCTCTTGGGTTCCCTTGTTCCACTCCACGTAACAGTACGATCTAGCCAAAGAGATGAACCCAGCAGACTCTGCTACTCTCTACCAAACCCTCGACGGCCAAGGCGCCCTGCTCGAGCAACGTGACCAAGCCCTGAAGACCCTTCTGGAGCACATCAAGGAGTTTTCACAGAGCCTGTCTGACCTACTGGGCCGACCCTTCGCCCAGAGCTCACAACCAGTTCCAAGTCCTTCTCCTCCGCTCCGGGAGCCGTTTGTTCCGACTCCCGAGCATTACGATGGCAACCTCGGAGCGTGCAGAGCCTTTTTGGTACAATGTTCACTAGTATTTGAGCAATAGCCTTACTCTTATGCTAGCGAACGGGCCCACGGCGGTGTGGGGGAGACAGTCCCCCATCTGCTTCTCCTACTCCAGATTCACGGAGGAGATGAAGAAAGTCTTCGACCACCCGGTCTGCGGTAAGGATGCAGCTAAGCGACTCCTGTCCCTCCGTCTAGGCCCCCATAGTGTTGCTGAGATGGCATGTGAGTTCCGCACCCTCGCCGCTGAGAGCGGCTGGAATGAGGAAGCCCTTCAGGGAGCATTCTGGAACGCGCTCACTGAGACCCTCAAGTACGAGTTGGTGTCCAGAGATGAGCCTGATAGACTTGATGAAATAATCTCTCTCGCTATCCGCATCGACAACCGTCTCCGTGAGCGTCAGAGGGAGAGGGTAGGTAGGTTTGCATGTCCCATAACATCTGCTTCAGTGCCTTGTCCTCCTTCT